AATTGAAGAATTGGAGAATTGGAGAATTGAAGAATTGGAGAATTGGAGAATTGGAGAGTTGGAGAATTGGAGAATTGGAGAGTTGGAGAGTTGGAGAATTGGAGAGTTGGAGAATTGAAGAGTCGGAAAATTGGAGAATTGGAGAATTGAAGAGTTGGAGAATTGGAGAATTGGAAAATGGAAGAATTGAAGAATGGGAGAATTGGAGATTTGAAGAGTTGGAAAATGGGAGAATTGGAGAATTGGAGAATTAGAGAATTAGAGAATTGGAGAATTGGAGAATTGGAGAATTGGAGAATTGGAGAATTGGAGAATTGGAGAATTGGAGAATTGGAGAATTGGGGAATTGGAGAATTGGAGAATTGGAAAATGGAAAAATTGAAGAATTGGAGAATTGGAGAATTGAAGAATTGGAGAATTGGAGAATTGAAGAGTTGGAAAATTGGAGAATTGGAGAATTGGAGAAATGGAGAATTGGAGAATTGAAGAGTTGGAGAATTGGAGAATTGGAGAATTGGAGAATTGGAGAATTGGAGAATTGGAGAATTGGAGAATTGAAGAGTTGGAGAATTAAAGAATAGGAGAATTGAAGAGTTGGAGAATTGGAAAATGGAAGAATTGAAGAATGGGAGAATTGGAGATTTGAAGAGTTGGAAAATGGGAGAATTGGAGAATTGGAGAATTAGAGAATTAGAGAATTGGAGAATTGGAGAATTGGGGAATTGGAGAATTGGAGAATTGGTGAATGCATGACAAATGATTGCATCACGTTACAACAACCACCTAAAATAATTAGAAACGAAATGTGTCGTTACAATCCGAATACAACAAATCGTATAAATTAACAATTTCGAAATGTCGTTAGACGCACGCCACACCATTTGCAAATGGTGGCTGATGATAGCCTTAGGAAGAATTGAAGAATTGGAGAATTGAAGAGTTGGAGAATTGGAGAATTGCAGAATTGAAAAATTGGAGAATTGCAGAATTGCAGAATTGAAAAATTGAAAAATTAAAGAATTGAAAAATGGAAGAACTGAAAAATTGACGAACTGAAAAATTGAATTACTAAGAATTGAAAAATTTAATCACTTCAAATTGAAAACTTGGAAAAAGTAAACTAATTCTCAAATTAAAAATATGAAAACCCGAAAAACTGAAATTTTATAACTTGAAAAATTCGTGAATATCTAGTCGCAATTAATTCGCGCAATGGCTCACCTTCTTCCACCTCAAAACGTCATTTCGTGTTCCATCCCTTTGCCCCATGATTTTCCCCATTTGTCCACATTTACAGAGACAACTGCATCTCATGCAATTGCAACCGAACATCCCTTTGCCAGAGATCAACCTATTTATCACGGTTTCAAGTTACCATCGTGCAATAGTTGCGGTTGAAGTAGATACCTTTTAACATTTCGCATATTCATGAACGCGATTATCGCGAATGATACACGGTATTAATGCGTTTCCACGTTATTCGAGTTACAGGTACCGGCGTTCAAAAACCCGAGTCTGTTACTATTCGGCGGCATTTTACCGCGACAAATCGTGTATCGCTATTCAATTGAGGTCGCATCGGAATAATTACAGCACGGTTTGTTGGACAAGATGGTGCTCTCGCGTTTTGCTGACACGATACCGAAAATTTTGGCACACAGACGCCGCGAATATTCGTACGATAAGATCTCTGTTTCTCTTTTGGTGCTGCGAGCGTTTGTAGATTCGATTACGTGGAACAATGGGCAGCTTTCCATGAAGAAACAGTCGGTTTTCTGCCATGAATATTTTCGATGGCAAGCTGCATATTGATTACGCGAACACGCGTACACCGGTGCTATTGTGAAGAATGCTGGTATAAACTACAGGACAGATCGATATTAACGTTATACGGTAATACTTTGAAATTTAGATGCAACCCTTTTTTGCTGGGGATATCAGGAAAACGAGCTACGCAATCGAACGGGGATAACTGGCTCGTTCTCCGTCTATAAATTGCGTTATTCCGCAAATGTCCCTGTTTTGACGTCCATTTTCATTTGGGACTTTTGTAATACCAGTGTCTGTAGTTCTGGAATATATTCAATGAATAAAGTTGATTTTCACTTGTTTATTCGTCTCGTAAGTTCGTTTTATTTCAAAATCTAAGCGTGATCCAGGTAATTTGGATATAACCAGAATTTAATGTAGTCGTAATCTAACCTCAGCAGTGTAGTCATAATCCTAACTAGAATTTAACCTGCAATAATCTAACCTGACCAAAATTTAACCCCCATCTAACCTAATTGTAACATTAGGTATTTAACCTGATATTTGCACGTTTCCTAAAATAATTTCAAGGAATATTTCACGAAAAAACTATAATGCAAAAATATTTTTAATTTTTAGAGAAATAAAATGTCAATTCTGTAGCAAACATTGTTTTTGCCACCCGAAATTAAGCAATTAATTAATTTACGATCCTGCGCGATAAATTCGGAGAATTTTTTAGTGCAAACATCGTGAATATCTATATACGCAAAAAAATGTTTTTGTTCGTTGAAATGAAAAGCGATAGAAAGGATGATATCGCACGATATTTCACGCGAAACGTGTTGAATCCACGACCGTAAAATGCGCTGCCAAAACGATTAGAGGATTATCGATTCAAATGAATATATCATTCAGTACGGTGATTTAGCGCCTCGAAAACTTCTAAATTTCACGAAAAATATACAATTGTTAATGCTTTATTCGAATTGTTCTCTCAAATGACAGACTGTGAAATTTCAGCTCTTTATCGAAATTTTCGATTTTCCGAATTTTCAAATTTAATTCTTTCCATAAAAATTTTCATACCAAACTTTTGAAATAATTTAAGATCAATCTGTTTAAAATGTTCGAATCAGACTTTTGCTTAAAATGTTCGAATTTTGGGATGAAACTTTTGAAATAAAAATGTTGAGCAATTTGCAAAATATCTGAATCCAAGAAATTACGGTGTTCGAAAGTTCTTAAATTCAAGAATTTCGGGTTCCGTGAATCCGCAAGCTGAAGATTCGATTTTGAAAGAAAAATGCAGATTTCGATTTGAAAGATTGGCAATATATCTAAAGGGACCACGTCTGCGAGAACCTTTCTTCGATAGCGAACGTAGAATACAAAAACTGGGAGTACAATGGATCGGGATAAAAGCAAGCGAAAAATACAAAGCAGAATGTACTTACGAACACAAGCAATGTGCTGCGGTCAGGACGAATCTTGAATTAAGAATGGTACCACCGCAGAAGTGTCCTCCTTTTCTGCTGATGCTCACCATCCAAGGAAATTCGTGCGGTATCGCGTTCTGTCCGCCGACCAGTCTCGCTGTGCGTGTACCAAAAGTTCCTTGGCCACATGGGACATCAGCCACTGTTATCATAACGTTATCGCGTCAGAAACATTCTCCAATCGATTCTTGTTGGAAAGTGCAACGATTTACATTCATACATGCACTCACAATCGCGCAATTCGATATAAGCGAAAATGACTAGGGGTTCTTAAACTTATAGAGTCCGAAAACTGCTGTTGAAATTGTTGGAAATTATGATTTACATTTATACATGCAGTCAATAGTGCTACAGCTATGATTCGATATAAGTAAAAATGACCAGGAGGTTCTTAAATCTATGTAGTTCGAAAACTGCTATTGAAAATGTTGGGAATTATGATTTACATCTAAACATGCAATCAATACTACTACAGTTATGATTCCGTATAAGTGAAAGTGGCACCAAGGGTTCTTAAATCTATGAAGTTTGAAAACTGCTATTGAAAATGTTGGGAATTATGATTTACATTTATACATGCACTCAATAGTGCTACAGTTTTATGATTTGATCTAAGTGACAATGAGCTATTAGGGGTTCTTAAACTTATGCAGTCCACAGATCTCTTTTGAACAATACTTTTTTATACCATCACAACCCTAAACATTTTATGTCATTCTTAAAACTTAATTTCTGAAGAAAATTTTATTTCAATTTCATTTTTTAAATTTTTGTATTATAACAAGTATATATGGTTAGGTTAGGTAACAAGTATATATGGTTAGGTTAGGTAAAAAGTATATATGGCTAGGTTAGGTAACGAGTATATATGGTTAGGTTAGGTAAAAAGTATATATGGTTAGGTTGGGTAAAGAGTATATATGGTTAGGTTAGGTAACAAGTATATATGATTAGGTTAGGTAAAAAGTATATATGGTTAGGTTAGGTAACAAGTATATATGGTTAGGTTACGTAACGAGTATATATTGTGTATCATAACGAATAAGTTTGAGCATCATTTGAACAGCGTTTCGTTTCCTCTAATCCTTCATTTAACAAAAATTTGTTAAAACCAAAAGTAATCCTTGATTACCCTGAATCAAACAATTGATTTCTTTTTCCATAAGGGATCACGGTATCCGCTTTCACATGTGATTCTCCACACACGTATAAACGAAAGAAATAGTACACAATTGTTGTAATGGTTGTTTAAAATTAGACAGAATTACAAACAGGAAACGGGAGAGAACGTTTCAGGAAATGCTGCAACAAACCGAACCGAAGGACCTCGTCCTGGTTTCCTGTTTTTTCATTAAACGAGCCAACAGCAGCATCGTTGCGCTCGTGCCAGGAAAGTTCATTTCAACTTTTATCGGAAATAATCACTTAGCAAGCACAGTGTTCATTAACAGGACCGAATCCCATTTCGTTCGTTACCTTCCGAGAATAGTGTGTTCCCATTGGAGGATGTATGCTGTGGATAGGATTGTAGTTTAGGGAAACATTAATGGAGACTTGAAGTTGCTTCTATTGGTTTTGGGGATTGATTGAGCTTTGGGGATTTTTGAAAATGGTGCTTTGGGTTTTAGAGATAGGAGGTGGGGAAGGAAGCAGCAGCTTGCTTAGATTTCAATTTTTTAGTTTTTCAGTTTTTCAGGTTTTTAATTTTTCAGTTTTTCAGTTTTTCAGTTTTTCAGTTTCTCAATGTTTCAGTTTTTCAATTTTTCAATTCTTCAATTTTTCAATTTTTCAATTGGTCAATTTTTCAATTTTTCAATTTTCAATTTTTCAATTTTTCAATTTTTCAATTTTTCAATTTTTCAATTTTTCAATTTTTCAATTGGTCAAATTTCCAATTTTCCAATTTTTCAATTTTTTAGTTTTTCAGTTTTTCAGTTTCTCAATTTTTCGGTTTTTCAATTTTTCAATTTCTCAATTTCTCAATTCTTCCATTTTTCAATTTTTCAATTTTTTAATTTTTCAGTTTTTCAGTTTTTGAATTCTTCATTTTTCAATTTTCAATTCTTATCAGCAATTCTCAATTTTCAATTCTTATCTGCAATTCTCAATTTTCAATTTTTAATTCTGAATTTTCAATTCACATAATTTAGTTCCTAATTTTCAAGCCTCACTTCTCAACTTTGAATTCTTATTTTCATTCTTATTTGACTCTTATTTAATTTTTATTCCTAAATCATCTAATTCTATGATCGATTCTTTAATTTGAAATATCCTCGATAAAACCGAGGAATGTTATCCACGTCATTCAATGCTAATTACTCTCGAATTATAGAAAATGGAAAGATAACCGTGAAAAGCGCAGATAATTCGATTGTACGTCGCGAACGAAATTATTTCCAGTGAAATAGTCAAGAACGGGGACACATTGTAATCGTGGAAACTTTCACGTGCCTCGTTCCCGACATTCCTTGCATCGCAGTCGGGAATATCATTTGCGAAATATTTCCATTACGATTACGTAAATCATTCCCGTAACCGGTGGGTTATAGTGTCCGTCCCCGTATCGAGTGGCAAGATAAATTAATTATCAGGATAAATTGCCATCGATCTAGACAGCTTCAATTAATCCTTTACCGTCCTATAATTCATACGGCCGCGACATTCGCGTTTTCTACTACCGGATATCGCTTGAAACCGCTCAAAATCCCTTTTGAAAACTTACACGTGTACTCGCATAAAAAAAGAGGAACACTCTACTCGAGTAATCGGTGTGCGACGAGTTTTAATCGATCTTTTGAACCATAGTCCTGTATTTTTTTTCCACCCTTCCGACCGATTTTAATCCGCGTAAAATTCATCGTCACGCTTCGTATCGTTCGCGATGCAAATACGTTTCGCCGTTTTTCGGGGATAAACTCGTACGAAATGAAATGTTTGATAGACAGCGATAATACGGATGACACTGTAAACGAAAGAACCATTGATGTGGTTAACGAGAATTTCGGGAACGTATGGCAGTTATTTGAGGGGGAATATACGGGATTAATCTGCGATGAATTATTTCAAATGATCTTTCTGTGGTAAAGGTTATCGGGTTATTATTTTAGCCCGATAACGTTGCAGTATTAATATTAAGGAAAGAGAAAATATTGATAATGGAATTTTCATTTTGAATATTAAGTTTTAATATACTGTTTAGATTCCGGTATATGCGTATTAATATTAAAATTTCAAGATTCGATATTAACGCTGAATTTAAAAATTCATAAGTTTTTCACTTTGATTTATCGAATGTCTGAAATAAAAATACTTGATCAAATTCACCCGATGGTAGAACCGATGTGTTAAACATATGATGTTTATAACATATGTAAGTAACACGTGTAAGTAACATATGAGTAACATATGTAAGTAACATGCGTAAGTAACATATGAGTAACATGTGTAAGTAACATATGAGTAACATGTGTAAGTAACAATGAGTAACATATGTAAGTAACATGTGTAAGTAATATGTGTAAGTAACATATGAGTAACATATGTAAGTAACATGCGTAAGTAACATATGAGTAACATGTATGTTACATAAGCATGTAACATATGATTGTCATTAGGTTTACAGACAGATATGCAGTTTTCAGATTAAACATGAAAAATGAAATATCAATTACATTTCCTCCATGTCGACGAAAGTTGACAATAATATTATTTTGACAAAAGCTTAATTAGTAACGTGTCGCATCTTAAAGCGTGAACAATTAATAATTAACAGCTAATTATCATAGAAATCCGCGAGTTCCTTAAACGAAAGGGTTGAACTTTGAATGCCCTGTCGGTTAAAATAACTCGTGGCGCTGCCAGCCGCAGCCCGAGCGTACAAAAGCGTGGAAAAAAGAGTCTCCGTTCTGTCCGTTCCCGAAAAAAGGATCCCCCGGCAGGGTAAACGAGCAAGGGGTTTCCCATCCTGCGGTACACCGAAAGCATCAGCATATTATCATGACCATGTTCGGCCTGCTTTTGACATATCTATTACGCGTTTCCGAATAGAGGCGACTTCGAATTCTATGCCCTGTTTCCGTCCCTCTCTCGTCTTCAACACCGCGATGACAGAAGGGCCGATGAGAAGAGAAAGCAGAGGGCGGAAGTAGAGAAAGGGGCTGGAAATTAGGGGAGGGGATACTCGCGCGCACACAGACAAGGGGTGGAGATCGGTGGTGCAGACGTAGAGGTCCAATTAATCAGCCAGGGCGTGAAACGAGAGGGGGTGTTCGGTGTTGGAGGATGGCCGAAGGGGTGGCTAGGGGATGTCGCAGGGATTGCGGTGACAGATCCGCCGTATCTATTCCTATCTGCTCGGGGCATTAAATTCGCGCGATGCCAGTACCGGTGCCATACCGTCACCAGCCTCGGATCCTCTTGAATCGGTTAACATTCCGCTCTACGCGTTGCTTCAGCTTTCAATTAAACGCGGCAACTGGACGCGTTTTGCGAGCGCGTTTTATCTGCCCTGTGGCGCCGTTTAAGGATACTGCTCAACTACACTTGTATGCGGGATTTCGGGAAAAATGTTGCTATAGCCAATTTTCCAATTTCTGAATTTTAAATTTTATACTCTTTCAGTTTCCAAATTTCCTATTCCCCAATTTCCCAATTTTGCATATCCACAATTTTCCAATTTCCTAATTTACCTAAATTCCCAATTTTCCAATTTCTCAATTTCCCAATTTCTCAATTTCCCAACTTCTCAATTTCCCAACTTCCCAATTTCCCAATTCCCTAATTTCCTAATTTTCCAAATTTGCAATTTCTCTAATTTCCCAATTTCCCAACTTCCAAATTTCCCAATTTCTCAATTTCCCAATTTCCCAATTTCCCAATTTCCCAATTTTCCAATTCTCCGATTCCCCAATTTTGCAAATTCCCAATTTCCCATTTTTGCAATTTCCTAATTTTCCAATTCCCCAATTTCCCAAAACCCTAATTTCCCAAATTTCCAATTTTCCAATTTTCCAATTTCCCTAGTTTCCCAGTTTCCCAACTTCCCAATTTCCCAATTTCCCAATTTTGCAATTCTCCAATTTTCCAATTCCCCGATTCCCCAATTTTGCAATTTCCTAATTTTCCAATTTCCCATTTTCCTTA